CATGGCAAGCATGCTAACATGGCAATAAACACATCTCATGCAGTATGCTAAAGTGTAAACACTCACAGTGTACTCCGAGCCAAAATAAAGAACTAGTTAGAAATCATGCATGATCCTAGTTCATGTTAAGATGGCTAATGCAACATATGCAAAAATGTAATTGAGATAGGCTTGGCTATCTAGAATGGCATATGAATGCGACAATTCGATACATGTATTCAACTTGGAATTGAAATACAATGCAATTGGTATGATGCGCCGAGCTCGGCGCATGCAATACAGATGAATGGGTGCACGCATGCAAGCATAAGGTATGCTAATTGAAACATGCCTTAAAACTAACCATCGTAAGTGATTAAGTAAAAGGGAGAAAGAAATGGAGGTTGGAACACATGCATCACACACACGCACGCTTATTACAACGGTTGGCCCTCTCGACGGAGGGTCCGAATAAGAAACTAACTAGCTAGTCTAAGCTAATTAAACTAATTATTACATCACAAAACTAATTAATTGACAAACTAATTAGTTAAGCTATTACAACACAAATTGAATAGTTAAACACATTAACTATACAAAACCAAAGCATAAACTAGCTAAGCAAATTAGCTAAGTAAAGCAATGAAGCAATGTCCTTAGAGGGAGAAGAATACACGCATGCTTGGTCGTCTTGTTCGGAAATCCACCGCGATGCCCTAATTTGCCTCTGTTTGCAACTGTTCTTAGAACCTTGCACCAAGCTTCAGAAAGCTTCAACTCCACTATGGGAACTTGTAGGAACATGGCCGACCAGTTGTTGATGAGGGAGACCACCTGCCGACCACTTTTCTTTGTTGCAGACCAGAAAAGTGGTCGGCCAGCTAGTTTTTCTGGTCGGCCGACCACTTGTTGCTGCACTTCTCCAGTTTGCTACAATAGAGAGCAAGAAAGGGCATGGCAATCTATTTGCAAGATATATGTGCACAACCACCCTCCCTATCATTTCATAAGCTCAAGGGAGTGCAGTTCTCGACCCTCGGGCCACCAATCGCGCATCTCGATGCATGATGGCCGAGAAGCCAAATTGCATAATTCAATATAAAATGAATACACACATAAACACATAAAGCCTAGAACTCTATCATGTATGATCAAGAGCGTCGTCGGCGACCGAGAATTGAGGCACGTTTCATCACTTCAAGTATGAAACGTCCCTCGTTCCTCGTGTTTGGACTAACACCTAATCCAAACACAATGCAAGCAATAACATGTATAACCTAATGCAAGCAACAACATGGCATACATAATGCAATGAACAACAAGGCATACTCAATGCGACGTAAGATGAGCATGCACAATGCAAAGAATATGGCATACACGATGCGATGAACAACATAGCATACTCAATGCAATGCAACGTAAGCATGCACAATGCAAAGAATATGGCATACACAATGCAATGAACGACATAGTATATTCAATGCAATGTAACATAAGCATGCAAATAACATGCAAATAAACATGCTAAGTGGACTTACACCAAATGTGGATAGACCTCAGCCATGTCCAAAACAGTGGCCATAAAGCTAAAACTAAGGCATGAAGTACAAAGTAAATGCATGCACAATGCAAAGGCCCATTGACTAGGCATAAGAGCACAACTCTCAAGAGTGCTCAAAGAGTGACAAATGTGGAAGTGTAACAACACTATAAGCACTGAAATAAGGTATGAAATGATGTCAAATCATTCAAACAACACAAGCATGGCATGCTAGGGTCCTAAAGCATGAAAGCTAACAAAGAGGACTACCCTAGAGACATGCAATACATGGTACAAAGGCATGAACCAACCATGGACAGAGCTTAATTAGGTCTAAACAAAGACCAAAACATGCTAAGATGATGGCTCGAGGACCTAGGCAAGATAGCATGCATGCTAGGCCACAAACAAGGCAACAATGCACAACCCTTGAACCACAATTAAAGAGTGATATGCATAAGAATATGACAATGTTTCATGCTCTGAAATCAAGTATTAAATGATGCCAAATCATTCAAATAGCTCAAAGATAGCATGCAAGAGGCATCAAAATACAAGGCTAGCAAGGCCAATTGCACTACAGCTATGCAATACATGAAGCATATGGAAAAGGCAACCCAAAACAGTTCTAGAACATGTCAAAATGAGTTTAAAACATGCATGGAAGGAAGCCAAAATAAGCTAGCATGGTAAGCATGAAGCATGATGCATACAAGGCTAAAAGGGAGGATTACACTACACCTACCAAGACCAAGTATGAGATGGCTTTGCCAACAAAAATCAGATTTATATCATGGCAAAATAACCCCAAATACACAATGAAATGATAGCTCGCAAGCTTAGACATGAAAGCATACGCAATGACTCATGTTAAGGCATAAAGGGCAAACCCTCCAACGCATTGAAAGAGTGACAAATGAAAGTGTATGACCATGCTACATGTACTGAAATCACATTTCAAATGATGTCAAATTATGAAAATAGTCCAAGTAAGGCATGCTAATGGACTTGATACACAAAGCTAACAAGCTAGAATGCATTATAGCTATAAAAAGCATGGCATGCATGACCAAAACAACACAAATCAGAGCTAAAGCATGCTAAAACATGGACAAAAGTTTCTTAGAGTTAAGCCAAAATCATGTTAGAATGATGGTCTAAAGCATGATACACATTATGCTAGTTAATGGAATTGCACTACAAGTGCATGGAGCATGCAAGGGGCTATCAAACCAACCCAAAATAAATCTAAGGCATGTTAAAAAAACACCAAAAACCTACTGAGATGGCCCCAAAACAAGCTAGAAAGACATGCTCAAACATGAGGCACACAAAACTAGTTTGTAAGATTTACACTACAAGTGTGCTAAGCATGCATGAGGTGACAAAACCAAACCAAAACAGTGGCATGTCATGCTGAAATAACCTCAAATACATGCTAAAATATGGCCAACATAAGCTTAACAAACATGCTCAAACATGAGGCTAATAAGGCAAGCATTCAAGACACAAGGAGAGGGGATGACCCTCTCCTATTTGGGACCTCAAAACACCATTTTCATCACTGAAATTCCTCTGAGTTTTAGTGGTGAGAAGGCCAAAACAAGATGGTCCCAATAGCTTAAAAGGAAGGCACAAGAACAAGACCAAACAAGGCCTAAGAGGAGATAGACTACCCCCAACACAAAAGTGACCTTAAACAAACATGTTAAGCATGCAAAAATAGAAATTTTTGTAGTAGAAAGTTAAGCTTAAATCAGCATGAAAATAGGTCCAAAAGCTTAAGAAAAAACAAAGGTTTAAGGGGTTAAAGGCTCACCCTTGAAGAACACCTTCAAAACCACAACTCCAGCAGCTTTTCTGAACTCAAACCAACCCAAAAACTCCAAAACCAACTCCTAAGTACCTCAGCAACAAAAGGATGGTGTTTGAGTGTGTGTTTGTATGCAATAGTATGGAGAAATTACACTTTAAGGCACAAATATGAGACCAAAAGAGAGATATAGAGATATATGTGTATCTATAGCTCCAACAACAAAATCTAAACCTGGAGGAGGAGTGGGGAGGTTCTCTCTTATAGAGAACAAAAGTGTAAGCTTGTTGGACAAGCTTAGGGTCTAAGGCCATCCTTTCATACACGTGTATGGAGAATGGTTTTAGTGCTTTCCAACTGTGACAGCTAGATAGAAAATATCTCCAAGAATGAGTTGGAGAGCTGCCCCACTTGAAGTGGTTGGCTAGCTACTTCTACTGGTCGGCTGACCGATGGAAGTGGTCGGCCAGGGCAAAAAGTGGTCGGCCACAGGGGAGAGGTGGTCTGCAATATGAAACCAAGGTGGTGGTGTGATGGCCGACCAGAAAAGGTGGCCCAAAGACCAAGAAAACCAGTTTCCTGACCAGAAAACTGGCTGGCAGGAAGGAAAGTAGTCTCCAAGGGGAAGAACTGGTCTCCCACCCTTGTACCACCTTCCAAACAAGGAAAATAAGATTTGCACCAAAAACAAACCAAAAAGGATGCAAGACAAAAGCCCGAGAGGCAAGGTGCGCGGCCGGGAGCCTCGAAAACTAGTCTATGGGCATCAAAAGTGGTCTCCAAGACCACAGTGGCCCTCTAGGCCAAGGCAACAAGGTGTGGTTCAAACACCACGCCAAACGGAGAACGTTAAGCGATTCTGAGTCAAGGCACACAGTCGAAGGCTCCAAAAATCGAAAACTGGTCTCCAAGCAGGAAAAGTGATCTACGACCACAAAAGAGTGGTCTATAAGACCTCTCCCTCCCTCCAGGGAAGAGAAAACAAGGTTCGGTCCACAAACCGAGCCAAAGCACAAAGAGTTCAGAGGCCCGGAGGCAAGGCATTTAGCCAAAAACTCTGAAAACTCGAAACGAGCACAACATGTGCACGCTCAATCGATGACGTCTAAGTCTTAAGGTCGGTAAAAAATAGGGTGTCTACACTCTTCCTCGGCCAAGCCTGAGCCGAGAAGAAAGAAGTGCTCTTCATCCCATTGCTAGACTAAGATCTTCTTCAAGGCTTTCTCATTTTTCTCGGTTGGTTCTTTGCCAACATCCTCAAGGACCTCCATGTCCCCATCCTCAATCTCTACTATTTCTGTTTCTCGTATGTTACAAGTGGATTTCATTGCTGCCATAGAGCAACTCTTTGCCTACACCTGATCCCCTCTGACCTCCTCAATTTCATGTTCTATTAGGAACCGCAGCAGCTGGTGCAATGTTGAGGGAACAGCCCCCATTGCATGCAGCCATGGCCTTCTCAGGATAGCATTGTAAGGAGAGAGGGTGTCAATTATTGTGAACTCTGTTTTTACTTTCTTGGTGCCAGCCTGCACCTCCAAACTTATTGCTCTTAGGGGCCACGTCGGTATTCCGTTGAACCCAACCATTGGACCATTGGATTATTCCAGATCATCTTAGTGAAAGCCAAGCTCCTTGTAACACCTGACATACATGATGTCACAAGAGCTGCCCTGGTCGATTAGAATTCGCTTTACCTGGCACTCTCCAATTTGGAGGGATATTACCAAGGCATCGTTGTGTGGATGCTGCACCATCTCTAGGTCGTCTTCAGTAAAGGACACTATTGGTCCCTGGCACTCATCTACCCTAGGTCTCTTCTACCAAACCTGATACACATGTTGTAAGTGTTTTACCTTCTGAGTTTCCCCACGTATCTGGTTCTCATTGACCTTCGAGTGAATCACATTGATCACTCGAGGTCTGCCTGCTTGCGGTTGTGGTGCTAGAGGATGTGGTGCTGCTGGTGCCTGAGGTAGTCTTGCTTGCTCTTCTCTTGTCCTGGCCTCATCTACCATGTCCCTTAGATGACCTTGTCTTACCAGGTCTTCCAGATATGCGTTTAGGGCTCTGCACCCTTGAGTTAGATGCCCATCCTCATTATGGTAGACACAGCGCTTCCCCAGACTTCTTCCCATAAATTCACCAGGAATCTTCTCTAGTGCTCTATAATAGGGCTGATTTTAGATTCTTTCCAAAACTTTGTAAACTAGAATTCGGAATATGGTAGTGACTGCCTACACAGCCCTCAGTCATGTCTCTTGCTTATTGTATCCACTATTACCTCAGCCTCGCGCCGGCGAGCCATTTCTCTTCTTTTGTTTTGACGCCTTTGTCCTCCTCGGTTCTCGCATACTTCTCTGTCCTAGCTATTAGTTCCTCTATACTTTTTGGCAGTATCTCTGCCAGTGATTTTCGAAGAAGGCAAACATCGTTCAAGCCGTTCTTAAAAGACACGACCGCCACCTCTTGGTTACATCTTGGTATTCGGTTGAACACCTCATAATACCTTTCGAAATAGGTCCTAAGGCTTTCATCCTTGCCAATTCTTAGAGTCATTAGGGAGTCGACCCTCAACGGCTGTAGTTTGTTTGTCATAGATGGCGCCAAATTGTGTGTGTTGTTTTCTGACCACACTGCCAAACAGGTACGCAGCTGGAGAACACCGACAGAATAGATTGTGCCCGAACGACTTGTCACAGAAAGATGAGACTCCGGAGGTGGTTCTTCCACCCGGGGGCACTCCAACGATCAAGTCAATACTCAGTTATCTCTCAAAGATAGCAAATAGTGCTTTAACTCACTAGCCCTGAAACAAAAAACGTACCTTAGACCCATAAGGGTGCCTTCACTACAACAAATTGGGTCTTGAATGACGAAATTTTTTTGTCTCGAAAGAGCTAATTTCGTCACTATAGATATTTGTGACAAAATATTTTCGTCACCAGTTTCGTCATTGAATGTTTGTCACTAAAAACCACCATGACGAAAAATAATTTCGTCACCAATGAAATTAGTTCAATGATGAAATTTTTTGTCACCAATAAAACAAGATTTTGTCGCCAAAAATTCTCATTTTCGTCACTAAATAATTATTCAATACCATATTTATAATTTTAGTTGACGAATAAATTTGTCACAAATGTTGATCATTGATGAGGAAATAATTTCGTCACAGTAAGATGTAAAGGTGATGAAATTTTTCGTCTCCATAAGTCATACATGGGTGACGAAATATATTTCGTCACCAAACAACAAAATCAATAAAAACTTTCATATATGCGCTGTAATAAATTTTGTCACAAAAAATATTTATTATTGACGAATAATCACTTTGTCATAATAACAAGTACAAATGACGAAACAAATTCGTCACTAAACCTGTTCCATATTTTATATTTCAATTTCAATTATTATTTCACAAATATTCCTGCTCATATCCTAATATTCTTTTAATTATACTAAGAAACCACTAGCTATTATACATCACTCCACAAAAAAAATCAATAAACAATTTATATTATAAATCAAAATATATCCATCAAACAACTTTAATAATATAAACCATTAAGTATAACAAAAAAACCACCAAAGCAAATCCCAAAATGAACTAACGTGGAATCCACAAAAAAAAATCAACACTCAATCTTGATTTGCAACTACAACTAAGTATCAGTTCAGGAAACAAAATTCAACAGTTGATCTTCATTTGCAAGTATACTTCCAAACATCATTAAAAACCAATCTGCAAAGAAAATAGACAAAGAAAACATTAATATATTATCAATTACATCTAAACTCATATATAAATAATTTTATTTTATAAACCAATTTAGTAGAAATGCATCTAACAAATCAGAACTTCAAAGAGTTGAGATGATCTTTGATGATAAAGCAACACGGATAACATAAGATGTCAAAAGACTGCAAGAATACCATATATCACTATCACTAATGGCAGAATATATATATATATATATATACATATATATAATAGCTCCAAAATATAACGTAGCATTGAGGTACATTTGATTCACGACAATGGGTTTTTCATGCATGTTGCGTTCTAATCTTTGAAAACAACCACCAAATCTAATTCTCACTCACAAGTTAAAAATCAACAATCAAACTTTTGCATGCCAATCATAATAAATCATAGTCAAAAAATAAAATATGCATATGTTTTTTTTGAGACTTAACCCTGTGGAAATCTCATTGCTATAGTTTCAAAAAAGATCACTCACTTTTCTAGGTCACAATGATATATCTCTAGTCTTGTTAATTCTGCCTGACTTTTTGGAAGTCTGTAGGCTACAATATGCTCATCATCTTTTATAATAGACAATGGCTCCAAAGGGCTCACTAAATATTGATATATTCGATGATCATAAACCTGCAAATAAAAAAATCCAGGGCTTCATAAGAATAGGACATAAGAATAAACAACTGATTAGTCAATAAATAACAAAATTCGAGAAATATACTGCTTCAGCAAGCAACAGGCTTTTATCACTCCTTAAGGCAAATAGTTCATTATCCAACTAATAGTTAAAGAGCCTCTGCAACAGTCATCAAACCTTACATCTAAAAAATGTTACTAAAATTAAAAAATTATTTGTATTGACCTTTTTAATCGGTGCGCCAATTCCAGTGGAAATATCTGATATTGATCTCCCCAGATTATTAACATGGGCTACATCATGGAGAAATTACACCATTAGCGAGCCAATCAAACTAGTAACTGAGAAACAAAGCAGGAGCTAAATAATATGGTGACAGACAAAGTAAGAGATACAAAAACTTGATTTATCTTGGGAAGATCAGAGAGTTTTATATCCTTGTGAAATGCTTGGACCAAGTCTTTTCTTTCTTGAAGGTATTTTGTACACATCACCTGCCCACACAAACCAATTCACAAAAGTAGTTTCAGGTAAAACAATATAGGGTAAATCCCACTTCCTAGAATCTTAACTTGTGATAGTAAGATATCAACAAATTCATAAATTTAAGACTAGCAACATTACTATGTGTTACAGAGTACAGACTACAAACATATTATTTAGGCAAGCCCTGAAAATTACTCATCAAACATTACAAGGACGAAAACATAGAAATATAGCAGTATAAATAAATAATTAACTCAAATAATATTTTTGGACAACAAGAAAAAATATTCCATTTGTAAACAATATGTACCTTCATAAGTATATCAAAATCTTCATCAGGTTTTATTCCAGCAATTTTCTCTCTTCATGAAAGTTCCAGAAGCATATCTGTTGCAGATTATCATTGCTCAGCATTTAGGTGACCTCCACACATACACAAGCATGCACACACTATCTTCCATAGCTTACCATATTTATATCCAACACCCTGACAACCAGTTGAGAAGTCAAAAGTCTTCCTTACTGTCATCTCTGCCACATGCCAATCTTGTTGACTGACATAAGCAGATGTCCTCTAAGGAACAAACTCATTTAAACTATGTCCATTGTATGTAATGCTCCCTGACATCTTCAAGGTAATCAAAGGTATTAAGGGAGGCACAATTTGCAGAAGAAGAAAAAAAAAACTTCATGAGTCATGTCAATTCATTTAATGAAGCAATAAAGCTAGACAGAGGAATATCCATGTCCGATAAATTATGCCAATCTAATATTGAAAGTATTACATAACTAGATACATCCATACACCACATTGGGAAAGTTAGATATAGCATGGGAAATTATGCAGAAGCCTTGAAGTTAACTTAAGCCTAAATGCATTCAAAGTAACACACAAATTTTAACCTCTCCTAAAATTTCATTTTTCTTTCTTTCCATCTTTCCCCACCTTCCCCACCACTCCCCCTTCTCCCTCCAAGAAGAGAGAGAGAGGGGGGGGGGAGACAATTAAAAGAAAAATGAATGAATAAACAAATTAAACTTCATTTCTAGTCATAAACAAAATATAACACAATTCAACACTTTTTACTAAAGGGCCAGAGGTAGTAAAAGATGTGAACCAAAGCCAGTGTATGGAAGAGCAGCATGAAATGACATTCTTAGTTTCTTATGTTTATCTTCTTTTTATAAAAATTCAACATCATTACCAAATTTTCATATGCATATACAAGAAAAAATTTTAAAGAAATTATTTACAAGTTATAACATTAAAAATTAGAGCCTTAATGAATCACTTTTTTTTTGTTTTGTAATCTAAAAAAAATATTGGCAGTGGCATGTGGCTCACAATGATCAGTCCACTGGCCACTAAAAATTATTGAATATGCTTTTGGTATAATTATCAGTCCACTGGCCACTAAAATTCAGCTTCTGGGCAATACTGCTATTATAATTGAATAAGTTGTTTCTATCAATAATTCCAATAATATTTAACTAACATGCTTCTTACAAGTCAGTTCAAATGTAGATTTAATATTTGGAGCTGTATGAATTTGTAATTTGAAATTTTCGTGTCAGATTGAGCATGTGCAAGTGTAGCAGCATGAATTTATCTGAACATTTTGAATAATGATAGCTCCATATCACAGGAATGCAAGGCCTTCTCTCTCAAATGGGTGGGTCCCACGTAGTGATAAAGGGGTTGTGGATACTGCCCAAAAGGTTGTGGGTTTAACAATCACCCAATAATAATAATAATAAACAAAAGCAACAAAAAACATTACCTTTGTCATTGAGAGCAACAGAAAGATTGTATTCTTCACTATATTATCCACTGAGCTACACCAGGTAGGAGTGTTGGGTGGTCTAATTTGGGGTGGAGAGCATGCATCACTCCTATTTGAGAGCTCATTCTGGGTCTGATTCCCCATCTGATGGTTTAAGTAAATGTCCAAACTAGCAGACGAAGGGTTTGCCACCTTTTTCTTGCTCTTGAATATTCAGCTAACAGGAATGTGAGTAACAAAAAAAGAAAAGAAATAAGGAAAATGGACTTTTTGTAGTTCAATCTGATTGACAGAAAGAGCAGCTTAGACATTTAAGATACTTGTCTTTTCACTTCTCACGATATCTTTACACTGATTCTTTTCTGCTTCCCGAACCTTCAACTGCTAAAATTTAAAAAATAAATAAAAATAAAAAGGGGGATGGGGATGGGGTGAAGAAAATCAAGGGATTCCCATATGTCATTATATATAAAAAGCTTAAAGCATTTTTTTCATCATATGACAACTACCCACCGTTCTATTTGGATGGGGGTGAAGAGTTGCTTTAAAAGAATAAAACAAGAACAATTAACTGCCAAATTAGTCCACAAAGTTGCTGAATTTAAGGCTATGATCTTAAATTCCATGTTGTTGAGCCTTGTCTTAACCCTCATATTTTTTAGCATTTTCTTAGCCTAAACATGTCCAAACAATTACAATTTCAATAGACAGATAATAAAAATAAAATACAGAACAAACTACCAATAAATTACCTTTGCCCAGTTAATATTACGAGGTTCCAGTGCATTCTGATTGGCCAGAAGAAAATCAATCACAGGTCCAAGTGTTAATATCATAGTTGTAGCCACATCTGCACAATGAATTGTAAGCAGCATTAAAAATGGAAAAAAGGGCAATCCCTGACAGTAAAAGGACAAAAGAATGGAGTTATACCCATATTCAAGGATAAACCACCATGAGTTGGACCAAAACTGTAATGGAACCCCAGACACCCAGTTTATATAGAATGATTTGGGCCTTTGAGTCCTGAAGGAATTCTAGAGTGTGCAGAGGAAGGATAACAACGAACAAACAACAATATATTTAATGACAACAATGGCTCCAAGTCTCATTCATGGATTAATCCTACAAATGGTATTGGCTACCTCTTAACAGCTAGACTAAATCAACTTTCTTTGTTTAAAAAGGTCAAGTCAACATACCAATATCCAGAGAGTCATGAGTTTCAGTATCAATCTGAAATTTCACTTCAGCAGAGGCAAGAGTCAATGCTCCTCTATCAATACGCCTCTGCCTCATTACCTGCAAAAACAGAGTCCATTCACATTTAATCAATACTCAAATGAATAAATGACCGTAAGTATCGACCTGAGTATGAATACCTTTGCTAAAACATTCATATTTCTCAAATCTGTAGTTAGCGGATCCATCAAGTGGCTACAATATACATGTAGAAAAAAGTCATCAATACGGAATTAGTGTATTTTTCAAGGGATGGCTTGTTCTCTTTCGTGGTTAGAAAATAGGCTTTTTGTAGTTTTGTATACCTGGGTTACATGTATGGTGGACCTGGATTTGTTTGCTTTTTTGAATTTTTTTGGATGATTTGATTGGTTAGGTGGTCTCTCCCCTTTCATGGGGTTTTTGTTTTATTTTATTTTTTTTGGTGTATTTTAGCATCAGCTTGATGTTGTCAATAATAAAATTTTATTTATCAAATAAATAAAGACTAAATCATGAATGTATCGAGAATCAGAAGCAAGGATGATGAAAATATAAGACGATCAAAAAAATTACATCTAAAATTAAGTGCTCATCCTACCAATGTAGCAGTGAGAGGTTCACTAGGTAAAGTGGATGCCCTCCAACCAATGCTCAAACTTGATAGTAAACGCTTAAAACATTGCAACAACAAAAAATTCCACTCTTAATGAATTTTCAATAAACATTATAGGTATTTGTGCCCTACATACATGACACGTCATCACTTAAGAGGAGTTGGATCATCACAAGGCATGAGCCTCACATTCTCACCTAGTCGCAGTGCGTCACTTCATGGCCTCACCTTGCCTCAAGGCCTCAAGAATGCCACCCAGAGCCACACAGCTTGCCTAGGTATAGATAAGGAGTAGGGCCTATGGATCCCTCAGTGCCTCAATCATGAGACACCCAAGCGACCCATGACTCCACGCTGGATTACCACAAACTTGTAGATTGGTAGTTAAAGTTGAGAGATTAGCAAAATTGCTTAGTCCACCCTCTCGAGGTGGCTCCACTTTCACCTATCTTAGACAAGAAAGAAAGACCTATTTGACTAAGGCATATGATACCTCAAAAGGCGTATGACACCAAACTTTGCCACCCTTTGGCATAACTCTTAAGGATGAGCTGACCTTCATGGCCCAACTATCCTACAAAAGGTCCCCATCCCATACATGGACACGCACACTCATGTAATAACTCGAAAGGCATACCACACCTACATTTGCCACTCCTTGGCATGACCCTCAAGCACGAGCTGGCCTCCATGGCCCAACTATCCTATAAAAGGTCTCCATCCCCATATGTAGACATACAGAGACACCCTTGAGGAGAGCAGCCTCTTCTACATATCAAGAAACAAATTAGTAATTAGCAAGATAGGTAAAAGTTCAACCAAATTAGTAATAATCAAGATTTGTTTTTTCTAAGTAATTAGCAAGATAAATGATAGTTTCCACTAATAGGCAAATCTTCAACATAAATAAGCATTCAAAGCCAAAAAAACAAACTTGAAACATAAACTTCTCCTCCAAGATCGTTCTCCGTCGTGTCAGAAGTTCCCTCTTGTCACATATAATAAATTTTGCTGTCATGGTTTTGATATTTTTCGTGCTATTTGCTTCCATTAGTGAGTTCCAATAATTTCCATGATAGTTATAAGGTCAACATACGTGCAAGAACCAAAAGGTCAAAGGATACGAACTCCAACTTCAAAATTTCCATTATGTAATGCATCATCAATATCCTTGCATCCTGCAGAAACAGAAAAATAATATTTGTACAGAGTTTGGTATTTGCCTACACTAAAAAGAATACTATCTGGCCTCATGCAAAACTAAAAGGGTATTAAGAAAGAAAAGGTCTGATAAATCTATAGATCACATACTTGGAGGATCCACACTAAAGACACGTATATGACGCAAATCCTACCTAATAGGATTTGCCAAATCTTCAGAAGACACAGACGAAGTAATGGCCGCAAACATGACAAAACTTGAGAAATAAATGGTCTCGCATCTATATCATTCTCTATCAACACTACCTGCAGCACCCACACAATTGATTACAACATAATTTTATGAGCAAGAAGGATTGATTCCGTTGCTCGAAGACAATAATATTATACCCATCAGCCAGAAAATCAAAAGAGGGAAACAAAAAAAAACAATTCAATCAAGAAACTCATGTCCATAACTAGATGATCTGTTTGTCCCCCAAGAAAACACTCTGTTTGGTAGCCAAGAAAAGAATCTAAACAACCCAGAAAATGTACCTGTGTTCTTCTTCTGTCCACGGAGTTCCTTTCTTCCTCTCGACCTTGCCGTGCTTTGTGTTTGCTGCCGACCCAAATGAGGTCTGACTCCTCTTCGACTCAGTCTCCCACTCGAGCGACGACTCGTCAGAATAACTATGTAACTCGACTCGGCCTGACTCAATCTCGTTCGCAAATCTGTGTGTGTGAGAGAGAGAGAGTTGCCCTAAATGAGATATGTTTAGGGCAAATTGAGAGAGAGAGAGAGAGAGAGATGCCCCAAATGAGATGTGTTTAGGGCAAAATCTCAGAGAGAGAGAAGAGAAGAGAAGAGTATGAGTGTGTACCTTCCCTTATCTTCCTCCCTGTGCCTGACACTGTTAAGTGGAGTTGTTAATATCGTTTTGCTAATCGAAGCCTCAAAGAGACGAGTTAGAAAATGGAAGTGAGCAAAGAGATGATGAGGGAAACGGTGATGGACACTGCTGTCGAGCCAGCTGCCCAAAAAAATGGAAGTCTCAAAATTTTGGCGCCACTTAACAAAATTAGAGGAAATATCTTTGGTGACGAAATTTAATTTTTTCTCATCTAAAAATAAGTATTTATTGACGAAAATAAATTTCGTTACCTATTATTTTTCTTTTTATTATATGTGACAAAATTTTATAATTCGTCATGTTTTTGTTTTTTTTTTTTTTTTGTTTTTGTTTTTGTTTTTGTTTTTTTTTTTTTGGTGAATTGGTGCCATAAATTTTATTTTGGCGCCTCTTTGTTTTTTATCATACAATTTACGACATACATTGTTCATCGTAAAAAATTGTAATACTTTCAACAGGCAGGTGTTTCGTGTGTCGTAAAAAAGCAATACTTTTAACGGCGTGCATTGTGTGTTGCGTGAAAAGTATTAACTTTTTACGGTTGGTGTATGTGCGTCATGTATAATTGATGTATTAACGACACGCCATATGTACGTCGCTGAAAGTTTTATTATTTATGACGTGCATTGCAAGTTGTAAAAAAATCTTCGTTATTATCATTCACGGCCTACGCAATAGACACGCCGTGGTTGAAAAAGTATGTACGACGTGCAAAAAAAGCAAATCGTAAAAGTGAGAAACTATGGCGTGCATTTATTATATGCCGTTGATGTGGTGTCGTAAAAAGTCAGTTTTGTTGTAGTGACCATCTCCCTCTCCTAACCCTCTTCTGGCTCCCCAACTTCTTCATTTCCCTTAGGAACCCCTATCCCATCTGGTTTCACTTCCCCTTCCGCCCCTTGCCACAGCCCCTCCAACCCTTTACTACCATAGATCCATTGCCTCATTCCCTCTTATCCACAACCACAAAACTACTCTTTTTCTCCACTACAAATCTGAAATGCCTGCCCTTTTCCTCCCTACTATACCACCGCTAGCCCTTCTCCTCTCACACCGCACCTCCATTACACCATTCCATCCCCATCACTGCGCCACCACGTTACTGAAAACCCTTACCCCACCATTAAACAACTACAACCGAGAGAGAGAGAAATGGTGGCCATATCTTTGTGTGTTTTACAAGAGAGGGATGAGAGGAAAACTGGAGTACCAAAAAAAAGGAAAAAATGGGTAGAGGAGAATTAGTAGGGTTCCTTTTTTTCATTACCGCCAAATCTCAAAGTTCCCCTTTAAGATTGGTTGGTGATAAAATAATTGTCATTAAAAATTTTAAAATATTAAAATTATTGACGATAAAAATATATTTCTCATTAAATAGTTTTAAAATATTTAAAATTATTGGTGACAAAAATATATTCCTCACTAATAATTTTATAATTGGTGACAAATTTTTTTCTCACTAAAAGTCCCAAAATTTTGGCGCCACCCAAAAAAAATTAGAGGAAAAATCTTTGGTGACGAAATTTAATTTTTCCTCACCTAAAAATAAGTATTTATTGACGAAAATAAATTTCGTCACCTATTATTTTTCTTTTTTATTATATGTGACAAAATTTTATAATTCGTCGCGGATTATTCTTATTTAGTGACAAAATATTTTATTCATTACTTTTCGTCACCATAGGTTTAGAGAGTTAATTAACTTGTGTTTTGTTTTGAGAGAGAGAGAGAGAGAGAGAGAGAGAGAGAGAGAGAGAGAGAAATTGATAAACAAAAATAAAAAGGGGAAAAAAGTTAGTTGTCTATTTTTTCCATTATCGCCCAATATGTCAAAAATTTTCCTCCAAAATTAGTGACAATAATTTCTTCACCAAAAAGTCTCAAAATATTAAAAATTATTAGTGACAAAAATATATTTCTCACCAAATGGTCTTAAAATATTTAAAATCAAGTTTCTCAAAAAATATATATACAAAATTATTGGTGACGAAAATATATTTCTCGCTAATAATTGGTGACAAAAAAAATTTCTCACCAAAAGTCTCAAATTTTGGCGCCAACAAAAAAAAAAAATAGCGGGAAAACCTTCGGTGACAAAACTAAATTTTTCCTCACCTAGAAAGAAGTATTTGTTGACGAAAACAAATTTCGTCACCTATTATTTTTATTTTTTATTATATGTGACAAAATTTAATAATTCGTCACGAATTATTCTTATTTAGTGACGAAAATTATTTTCTTCACTACTTTTCGTCACCATAAATTACTTTTGTTGTAGTGCTTACTTTTATAGTCAGTACTAATCTGATCCCTGTAGAAGCCTAGCTTCCCTTGGACTCTGGCCCAATGTTCATCCTGGACTCTCTAATAGATAAAGATAAACTCCCTAAGAGTTTTATCCTTATCCAGGCTAAGGTCCTCCCCCATTCTAGGACTCTTATAGCTTATCCGTATATCCCAGATTCTAGTATCTCTACAGATAACCTTGGCCTAGCCGAGATGATCTCAGCATTATGACCAGGACACGTGGCACATCGGTTGGCACTTCGGTGCCACCTTGGCCACGTGTTGTTATCCAAAAAATATGTCCCCACAATTACAATTACCCCAGCAATGGTTATCGGTTCTCTCTTGCAGCCAATGCTCAATACAAGTGCTGCTGCAATTTTAAACTTAATAAATGGTATGTGTTGTTTATATTTTATAACAGACGCACGTAATCTTTTCTCATTTATGGATGACATGACATTTCCTTTCAACTAATTATTTAAGAGGAACTATGTTTACTTTTGTGAAACAACATATTTATATTTCTGTTGAATCAAACTATTCTCCCAAGAAGTTGTATATTGGGCTTTGGCTTCTCTTTCCTTCATTTCATGATACGTATTTGTTGATAAGTAACATAAATAAATCTATAATGTAATTTTCCTAGGAGCATTTTAATATTCTTCCATCCAGAAATAATTGTTGCTAAAACTTGAAGCATAAAACTTTAGTTGAATTAATAAGGCTTTTGCCGTATTTTATTTTTTGCAAAATGATGTGGAACTTCTTTTTAAGGGAATAATGGACCTATTTATTTGCTCCTTTGTTCTGCAGGTTCACAAACATTTCCAAATTCTACATTAGGATGGGTTAAAGTTATAGATGTTGCCAATGCACATATTCAAGCCTTTCAAATTCGTTTAGCTAATGGAAGATATTGTTTGGTTGAGAGCGTTGCACACTACTCTGAAGTTGTGAAGATACTACAAGAGCAGTTTCCTGCTTTTCAACTTCCAGAAAAGTAAGTGATTTATCTCATATTCAGTTTATTAAACTCTGCTTCAATGTTTCTTCTTGTTGAGCTGTTTAGCATGTTGTTTCAATTTATTTAACTCGAGTAAATTTAGACAATTGATCTCAGCTATTACTTATGGTCTGATAGGATTTGTTTCAATAGTATTTCCCTTACCTTTTCTAACAGTCTCTGTGAGACCCATCTGCCCTTACTAATTTGTCATGTCATTTTATGTGGTTTTCACATACTACCTTTTAAAACATAGTTAATGGGACAAGTATGACATAGCCAATGAGGTGAAAAGAGGCTCAGTTGGAAAGTTCTTGAATTGTATCATTTTCTTGAAGTATATACATTGCCTTCTATAGTTTTGACCATTTGAAGAAGTTTTAGCATAATATGATATTGAACGTTGTGCAAGTTGCAAGAAGTCCTTGAGCGTTTAATGCAAGCTATAATTTAACAAAATGAGTCTAGGATAATAAATAGATAAGGAGCCACAGACTTCAGCTTTAAGACATTTTTTTTAATAATTTAGCCATTTTAAAACTTCTCCCGTGTCTTTTCTTTCATCATATAAATTATTTGTTTTTATGTTATTAATGCTTTTATCAAAAGAAAAGAAAAAGGTCTAACTTTAACAAAGTAATTAACCTAGGTCCAAAAAATAATAATAAATAAATTTCCAGTAATTTGGGCCTGGCCCGAGTTCATATATTATGCTCGGTTTGGGCTTAGGTACACAAGTTTGGGTTGCAAGTCGAGCTTGGGCAACATTCAACACAACTCGTGCTAGGCTCGAGCAATCTCTCAATCCGATCGAACCCGCCCGAGTTGCACCCTTAGACAAAGCCATCCTAGTTGCTAAGCTTCCAATTTCATTGATGATTTGTAATGTGAATATACATGTAAGATAAAAGTAGGACATGCATGTAGAATATACTCAAATTCTGACCAATATTTTAGATGTCTGGTGACTTTGTATATTTATTTATAAATTCAAAATGTTGGGGTACTCAATGTTTTTTGGCTGATGCTATCTTTATGGACATATTTAGATATCAATTGACATGTCTTTAGTTTGATGTCCGTGACCTTTTTATTTGTCCTTTTGGGGCTTTTCAAGATTAGGCATTGACAGTTTTACTTTCTCCTTTACATGCAAATTATGTACTGTCGTGCTTTCTTTCCAATAATAATTTGTCATTTTCATTTTGTTGAATTAAGTTTCAATGCTTGGATATTGATGGAAAGCTTGGGGGGCCCGTTTAGTTGTGTTTTCGTTTTATTTATTAGAAAATACAAAAACTTATTTGGTGAACTGTTTTGGAGATTTTTTTTTGAAAATCCACACTTTTCAATAAACACCAAAAAGTCATTTTTGGAGTTTTTGAAAACTGTTTCCACGCAAAAATGGAAAATGTTTTTTTTTTTTTTGGAAAATAAAGAAAGCTAAAACACAACCAATTTTCTTACTCATGACTCTGTTTGGTCGTTTGGATTTTGAACTTAGCATGTGATCAAACAAGTTCTTGTACATTATTTTGCATCTTTATTTATATTGGGAATCCTAAAAATTGGTCTAAAGTATTGCTCACTGTGTTGCTATTTTTCTGTCGAGAAATGCGTGGGAGCTTGAAATTGCAGTGGCTCGAATGCCCTGAGTACCAAAACAAAGTCGTTTTGCCACTTCTTTTTTTTTTTTTTTTTCTTCTTCTTTTTCCTTCTTCCTCGAAACTGGTTTGCGAGAAAGAAATAGAAACAGAAAGGCTAGAGAAAGAGAGAAGGAAGAGAGGAGAAGCCAAAGCTTGATCTTTGGTTGAACCACAACCCAATCCACCGCCATGGACAGAGAGACCGAAGCTTGATCTTCCGCTGTGGGACTGTGGATCTTCAACTGAATCTTTGCCATGATCTTATTCTTCTTCCTTTGGTTTGGATTTGATTTTGATTTGATTTTGTTTTCGATCTCAAACTTTGACAAGGTTGTCTTTGAACAACAACCTTCGAAGAACAATTTCCACACAGTCTTTCTCTTGTTTTCACAACAACCTTCCAACAACATTTCTCTTGTTTTCAAACTCTCTCTCTCTCTCTTTGTCTTAAATTCTCAATGTTTCTTTTGTTTTCATCGCTTTTTGCTTCAATTCTTTCAAACCCATGTCAAAACTCAAACCCAATTTAAATAACCCATGTTTTAAATAGACAAGAAGAAAATAAGTGGAATAATAGGTGCTAGAATTTGGGTTTTCAAATAACCCATGTCAAAACTCAAACCCAATTCTTTCTAACCCATATCAATAGTTAAAACATGTTGGTATGTTGTCAAAACTCAAACCCAATTCAAATAACCCATGTCAAAACTTTTCCAACATGCTGGTATGTTGTTGTTGCCAAAAGATTGGAACTTCACGAAACGAATGGGTGGGTTAGGTGGCTGCCAATGCAGAGGAGGAAGGTTGGAAATTCTGTGACTCGGTCATGTTTGAGAGAGAGAGAGAGAGAGAGAGAGAGAATTGTGTGAAAAGGAAAAAACTGTTGTATGTTTGAAAGAGAGGGGAAATGAAGAGAAAGGAAAAAGGAAAAATAAAATAAAATCGAGCCATTCGAGCTATGTTTTTTGGAGCGACCTAGCATGATTGTGCTAGAATTTGGGTTTTCAAATAACTCATGTCAAAACTCAATCCCAATTCTTTCAAACCCATATCAATAGTTAAAACATGCTGGTATGTTGTCAAAACTCAAACCCAATTCAAATAACCCATGTCAAAACTTTTCTAACGTGCTGGTATGTTGTTGTTAGAGAAAGGTTGGAACTTCATGAAACGGATGGGTGGGTTGGAAGGCTGCCAATGTAGAGGAGAAAGGTTGGAAATTCTGTGACCCAGTCATGTTTGAGAGAAAGAGAGAGGGAAACTGTGTAAAAAGGCAAGAACTGTTGTGTGTTTGTAAGAAAGAGGCAAGGAAGAGAAGAAAAAAAATTTCGGGCCATTCGAGCCCTGTTTTTTCGAGCAACGTAGCACGGTTGGACAGAAAACGACTGTGCTACGTCGCTTGAAAAAACAGGGCACGAATGGCCCGAATTTTTTATTTTCTTTTTCTTTTTCCTTTCTCTTCCTTGCCCCTCTCTCTCTCAAACACACAACAGTTTTTTCCTTTTTTACACAGTTTCCTCTCTCTCTCTCTCTCTCAAAGATGACCACGTCACAGAATTTCTAGCCTTCCTCCTCTGCACTAGCAGCATCCCAACCCACCCATCCGTTTCGTGAAGTTCCATTCTCCAACAACAACATACTAGCATGTTGAAAAAGTTTTGACACAGGTTATTTGAATTGGGTTTGAGTTTTGATAACATACCAGCATGTTTTAACTATTGATATGGGTTTGAAAGAATTGGGTTTGAGCTTTGACAACATACCAGCATGTTTTAACTATTGATATGGGTTTGAAAGAATTGGGTTTGAGTTTTGACATGGGTTATTTGAAAACCCAAATTCTAGCACAGCTGTGCTACGTCACTCGAAAAAACAAGGCTCGAATGGCTCAATTTTTTTTTCTTTTTCCTTTCTCTTCCTTGCCCCTCTCTTTCAAACACACGACAATTTTTGCATTTTTACACAGTTTTTCTCTCTCTCTCTCTCTCTCTCTCTCTCTCTCAAACATGACCGAGTCACAGAATTTCCAACCTTCCTCCTCTGTACTGGTAGCCTCCCAACCCACCCATCCGTTTCATGAAGTTCCAACCTTTCTCCAATAACAACATACCAGCATGTTGGAAAAGTTTTGACATGGGTTATTTGAATTAGGTTTGAGTTTTGACAACATACCAGCATGTTTTAACTATTGATATGCGTTTGAAAGAATTGGGTTTGAGTTTTGACATGGGTTATTTGAAAACCCAAATTCTAGCACCTATTATTCCACTTATTTTTCTTCTTGTCTATTTAAAACATGGGTTATTTGAATTGGGTTTGAGTTTTTACATGGGTTTGAAAGAATTGAAGCAGAAAGATATGAAAACAAGAGAAACAGAGAGAATCTAAGAGAGAGAGAGAGAGAGAGTTTGAAAACAAGAGAAAGGTTGTTGGAAGGTTATGAAAACAAGAGAAAAGCTGTGTGGAAATTGTTCTTCGAAGGTTGTTGTTTAGAGACAACCTTGTCAAAGTTTGAGATCGAAAAAAAAATCAAATCAAAATCAAATCCAAACCCAAGGAGGAAGAAAAGGATCATGGAAAAGATTCATCCGAAGATCCACAGCTAAAGATCAAGCTTCGGTCTCTCTGTCCATGGCGGTGGGTTGGGTTGTGGTTTAACCGAAGATCAAACTCCGGCTTCTCCTCTCTTCCTCCTCTCTTTCTCTTGCCTCTCTATTTCTTTCTCTTTCTCTTAAACCAGTTTCGAGGAAGAAGGAAAAAAAAAAAAAAAAAAAAGTGCCAGAACAATGTCGTTTTGGCACTCGGGGCATTCGAGCCGCTGCAATTTCGAGCTCCCATGCATTTCTCTTTTTCGTCTTTAGTTAGTGTTAGCACATTCTTTCGTAAGATTGATTTATTTTTGTCTTTCAGCGTGCTTTTCTCTTTTTGTAACCATCACTAATATTCCTCTGAGGTTTTTCTCTTTTTAATTAATAAATTTATTTTTAAAATGATAACATAATTAGATACATTTTCCAACAATATCTATCGAAGATTGACCAATAGGTGTTGGTAATTGATCGATATTGAGATTCGAACCCTTTGATAGTTGTTAATGTTCATATTTTAGGTGGAAATCCTTTGAGATTTGAACCCTTTGAAAGTAGTTCATTCACTAGTTGTGTCTACTTTTAACCTGTGCTTCTTTCTTTTAATCTACATCTTTGGAATAATCTTTGTAGGTGCGCTGATGACAAGCCATTTACGCCGACTTACCAGGTGTCTAAGGAAAGAACAAAAAGCTTAGGTATTGAGTTCATTCCCCTTAAGCAGAGCATCAAGGAAACGGTTGAAAGCTTGAAGGAGAAGAAACTTTTCACTTGGTGAGTCGTGGCAATCGTATTGGATAAAAATAAGGTTTGAGCCACAACATTGCTTGTGGCATTTCTGTGTGTGTCTTTATTTTGTTTCTCCCAACTAAAAGAATGAAAAATAATAATAATAATAAAAATAAATCTGCATTTTGTTTTCAAATATTTACCCAAATCGTGGAACCTCTTTTTAAAACTGCTATCAGTTGAATATTGGAAGAGTTATGTTAGGGACCCCAAATAAATTATCAATTTTTTTTACCAAACTTCTCACATGGGAGTGTCACATGGGTGTGGGACCAACACACATGATTTGTGTGAGTCTCACACCCATGTAAGAAGTTTGATAGAAAATTTGGTAATTAATTTGGAATTCATAGTATTTTCCAAATTGGAAACCTTATAATTAGTATTAATTGCTGCAATGAAGACCTGTTCTGTCTGGGGCTGTAAGTCCACTATGGATCTCACTCCAATGGTCCATACTGTTTATCTATTAGGTACCGTTTTTCTATTAGTTCCTTTCCTTGTGCTTGTGAGTAGATTATTCATGAAAAAAAAAATAGATCGATCTGATTATTGTGATTACATATAGACAGTTTATGTTTTTTTCTTGTTTTTTTGGAAGATGATGAAATAAATGGTTACAATTATTCGTTCAAGTTGTTTTTCTTTTCATAGATGTTTCGGATCATGAAAATTATAACTATATGGTCTAGATGTCCTAGTGAGTGTCATTGCATGATTATTAGGACTGCAAATGAACAGAGTCATTCGTGAACATGCTCAGTCTCGAGCTCAGCTCAATAAGAGCTCATTTGAATTCCGTTCATTAATTTTTTGTTTTGTGAGCTCGTTAAAATTTTAATAAACAAGCCTAAATATACTAAAGCTCGGCTCGTTAGTTGGCTGGTTTAACATTTGTTATATATATATATATATATATATTAAATAATGTAAAAATATGTATAAAAAATAAGATAAATATGTTATTTATATATTTAAACAATGTAAATGTAAATAATAACTATAGATAATACATTTATATAATAGTGGTGGTGAATATTATTATTTTAGTAAAATATTTTTCTTTTTCTTAATATGTTTATATATATTGTATATATAATTGTATAATCAAAATTTTAATTGTAACTTTAGTCTCATACGCAACTATAAATTTATAAATTTTTTGGCTCGTGAACAGGCTCAGGCTCGAGCTCCAGGCAAGTCCAAGTCAACTCAGTTCAAGCTCGATTCGTTAAATTTTTATTGAGCTCGAGTTTGAACTCGTTAAAATCTTAATAAACAAGTCTAAACATAGTAAAACTCGACTTGTTCAGTTTGGCTCAAATTGTTTGTAGTCCTAATGAATATGAACTAAGCTTTAGTTAGCCCTAATGATTATAAACAAAACTTTAGTTTGCTTCGAAAGGTAGCAAAACACGAAGGGGTTTTGTAATGTTCAAAATTTTGTTGAAGTGAATCTTTTTTATTTTTTATTTTTCTAAATGTTTTAACTTCAATTTTTACTACTTGGGTGGAAAGAATCTTTGGTGTTTGAGTCCTTTTATAATTATGGGATTTGGAATCACACGGTCAATAACTTTCTCAAGCTTAAGTGGGATCGTTGAGAGAAATTTATGAATCGGATTATAGAATCGTTTACGAATTGTAAGATTTTATTTTTAATATAAAACAAAAAAAATCATTTATTAATAATAATGTGTTATATAATTTTAAAACTATTAAAAAATAATAAATTTAATATAATGTATTTTTTTATATTAACATAAATTAAAAAAAAAAACTGTTTGAAAATGGAGTTCATTATAGTAATGAGACTAGCACATTAATGTTGGTTAAGACTACTGTTGTGTAAATGAAATTCGTTATAGTAACGAGACTAGTAAATTAATGTTGATTAAGACTACTGTCGTGTTTGATTATTTTTTGAAGTGATAATAGTTTTGAATTATTATGATAGTGAAATGATAAAATGGGAAACCATCAACTCCTTTTAAAAATTATGAATCGTGATAGTGAAATGACGAAATTGAAAGTTAGCAAAAGCGAAAAACTCAGTTAAAAATTAGGATAAATTATAAATACATCTTTTAAAGTTTGTTTAAAATAAAGATTATTTTTTGTGGTTTGAAAAATTATAAATACTCCCTTGTTAGAATTTTTTGTTTAACATAATTAATTAAGAAAATGAAACTCATAATTGCTCTCCTATACAATAATAAAATTACTTAAATTATTAATTGGAATATATTTTTAACATCATTCAAAATTGTTAATTAACTTGATAATTTATTAATAAAATGAGCAATTTGTTATGAAATTAAAACCCTCATGGGATGGAATAGAATTTTCAGAATTACAGAGAGCGATTCGTATTTTAATCAAATCTTAAGAGGTGTATTTGTAATTTATCCTCAAAGTTATTTATCATCATAAAGTCCTAGAAGTTATTTAATTTGAAATGAAAAACTTTTGGGACTTGATGTATTTTTTTTTCCCCAAATCTCAAGAAAGATTAATAGAATTTATCTTAAATTTTTTTACTAGATAAAAAATATATTATCTTCAATTAAAAAAAATCTAATAAATTATAGATATATCTTTTGAGATTTAATTAAAATTTGAGTTGCTCCATGTGAATCTAAAAATTACAAAAACTCTCTTACTAGAATTTGTCATTTAATAGAGTTAACGGAAAAAAAATAAAAATTTTGACTACCCTTTTATATTACAATAAAATTACAAGAGTTATTAACGGAAAAATATTTATGATGTCATTAAAAATTATTGTGAATAGTGAAATTACCTCCATACAAAATTAGCGAGATGATGCACCAACTCTTTCATTTACAAGAGAAAACAAATTCAATGATCAGTCCCACCCGAATCTCCAATGATCAAATTAGTAATTTGATTAGATAATCTTAATTATGATAATTGAAATTAGTGTTTTTGGGGTTGCCTTGGTCTGTCATAATTGAAATGAGTTTTTTTTTTTTTTTTGATATTTTTGGATTGCTTTGGTTCATCATTTATTCTTTAACAATGGTTGGTGACCCGAAATTTAGTGGCTCGAATGGCTCGAAATTGTTAAAACGACATCATTTTGAACGCAAAACAAGCCAAAACGACATCATTTTAACAATTTCAAATCATTTAAACTACTGATTTTGTAACTTTCAAAGATTTTTCTTCCTTCTTTATCTGGTTCTTATTTTATAATTGATTCAGGTATTATGCTGAATCGTTATCTCTTTTGACATGATGGCAGAGGTTACTTTTTATCAGTTTTGATTGGTACAATTAATTTGGTATTATTAAATCAACAATGATTCATCCCACTAAAAATATCACCACTAATAGCACTAATGCATTAAAAAAATAAAAAATAAATAAAAATAAATACAACTCCAAGACCAAAACATCACATCATTAATGACGGGACCCACTGCCACCTAATTAGTGGGAGCACTAATTAGTGCTCCCAAGCATTTTTGTTATTAAATTATCACTAATAAGGTAAAAAATTAAAAAAATTAAAAACAAAAATAAAAATAAGGTAAAGTAACACTGTGACAATGGATAGAGCTCACCGTCATATAATTAGTGTCATCACTAATTAGTCGTCTCAAACATTTTTATACTTTTATTAGTGACCAATTTGTATCTGTTAGAGCATCTCCAACCGTTCAATTTTTTTTTTACTAAATCTGAGTAAAAAATAAGTTGTTTTCTCAATTTGATACGACTTCCTCTAACGGTAAGTATCAAACTTGTCGAACAAAATATATACAGAATTGAGGGAAGGGTTGACCGGCTAGTCAACCAGCCGGTCAACCGGTAAAACTAATTTTTTTTTTTTTAACCTGTTTGAATCTTTCGACCTGTTTGAAAGGAAATCGGTCGACCGGTTGGTCAACCGACCGGTCAATTGGCTGGTTGACCGATTGGTCTCCTCCAACGGTCACGCATAATAAAATGGTGAAACCTGGAGCCTATTCTCACTTTGATAAATTTTTTGTCCTATTTTCATTTTGATACCAATTTATTAAAATTATTAGAGTTCCAAAAAATAATTTTTTTATCAAATTTTAAATCTGATGTGAGATTTAATGAACCTTACGAACGGTTGGATCTCTACTTATTGGACGATTATATTATTGTCAGACCATAATGATCAAGTTGCATTGCGAGGTGATCGTTGGATTTGAGTTGATTTGACGGTGTTGTTCCTTGCTATGACCCTTGCCGTTGGATCCAAGTTGATCTGACGGTTGTTTCCACGCCAGTCTAACCTAATCTAAAAATCATATCTTGTTTTCTGTTGATATGCCGTAAATCTGGTCGGCCTTTCATTTTAGCTTGGGCCTTGCCTAAATATTTTTGGGTCCATATCCTTAGTTGGGTTGGGCTTGAATTTCCATCCCCACAACTAGTTATTGAGTAACAGTTGATTGGGAAAAGAGATTATTTATTATGTGATCGAAGGACATGATATAATTTTTAAAATTACAATAAATAATTAATATTTTAAAAAAAACCTCACAAGGTGTATTTGTTTTAAAAAAAAAAAAAGTTATATACACCTTAAATTATATGTTACTTTTTTAATCAGTCATAGGAAAGGAAGTTATATCATACATTAACAAATATCATGATATCACTTACTCAAAATAACATTAACATTTGTTACTAATTTTTTATTAAATGGGTTATTTGATTCAATTTCACTTTATGTAGGCTTGACACTAATCTAACCCGTTTAATATTTATTTAACTGAATCATATTCATGTCCGTGTAGAAAAATAATAAACCTTAACTCACAAATTTCGTATACAATTCAAGTTGAGCTATAATATTGTGTCAAAATAGCATACTCTATAAATATAGAATTGTATTGCAAAAAACTTACACATTAATATGTTAAAATTTGTAAATATAATAAAATAAGGGGTAATTAATGGATAAATTATATGGTACACATCTTTAAAAGAGTGTCATATGTAAGTTTTGACATTTGTGAGGTTAATTTTCACAAATGTAAATTATCACTCAATCCTATGGGAGTCTTGACTGGAAAAAAAAGAAAGAAAGATAAAGGACAAATACACTCCTTGGAGTTTATTTAAAATATGAATTACTCCTGTGATTTTAAAAATTACAAAAATTGCTTTGTCAAAATTTTTTATTTAACAAAATTAACATAAAAAATGACATTCCTAACTACTTTTTTCTTTTTCTTTTTTATATACAATAATAAATTACTTGAATTCTTAATTAAAATATATTTCTGGTAATATTAAAAATTATTAATTGAATTGATAATTTATTAATAAAATGTGTCATTTATGCGATTAGACACTTAAAGGGATGTGATGAGACCATTTAGAGTGGTTGGTGAACGTGTTGTACGACTGATGAGACCACTTCAGATCGAACGGGTTTTACGACCGAGCAGTCTTGGTTAGCTCAATATGATTAAGTCTTTTAGCTCGGCAGTAAAGAATAATCCCAATCATACACTGCAGATAGAATTAAGGGGCAGTTGAGAAAGCAATTTGTGTAGCCCAATTGAGCCGAGCTAGTTGGAAGTGGCTTCAAGGCTTGGGTCGCATAATGGGTCGAGCTATGTCTTGGTGATAGCCTGGTTTTGGGCCGAGCAAAGGCTAGGCCGGTCAAAGATGTTTGACCGAACTAGTAAATACCCATATTCTTAGACCTAGCTACTTCTTAGAGGCAGTCAATGCTTTGATCGCGCTACAAGGGAAGACAGTCAAACGGAGCTAAGAATGAAGGTTTGACCGAGCTAGGAGAAGAGCTGTGCAATGTCAGCATAGTGGCGCGCTGTGCAAGCTGTGCACGACTAAGTCAGTAGCGGATAGAGTAAAGTAGTTTGATTGCTCGGCGGGAAGCCATGCAAAGAGTTGTGCCATCTCACTTGGCTTGCAGAAATGTGATTCCTAGGAGGACTTTACAAAGGAGAGTTAGAGTACCACTAGGATTGTACCATGCAGAACTTACAAAAGCTCAAACCAAACCCTAATTTTAGGTATTGCAATTATTATTCTCGAATTTACAGAGCTTTTATCTCCTTAGTCTATTTGTTGACTTAGGCATCGGAGGGGTCTACAGCACACACACGCCAGCCAGCTCACATTTGTGATTTCAAGTGTTACGATGATGTTTGAAGCAGCACAAGCTTTATTAACAAGATTATACGAGTGAAAATTATTTCATACTCATACAATGGTATATAGTATGTATTTTTGTGGCGAATGTTATATATTTTTTTGATAAAATTACGATAAATTTGTAATTCAAAAATAAAGTTACATATTTTGTGATAATGTTATACATTTTTGTAGTAATATTACATATTTTGTGGTTAAAAAATGTTTAGATAAAAAAAATATGTAACATTACTTAAAAAAATAGGTAATATTATCACAAAATGAGTAATTTTATTTTTAAATCACAAATTGCTATAATTTTACTAAAATATTACATAATATTTATTATAAAAATACACAACAAATATCACAAAAATATATAAATGGTATATATAATACACCATTTAAAAAGCGTGTATCATAAAATTTATAATAAAACATTACTCCAAATCGCACCATTAAGACCACCAAAGAAAAAAAGACCTAAGCTAGCCCTATTTGGGAACCGGGTCGGAGAGCTTTATAAGTTAAAATAGTAAATAAATATAAAATAGATTAAAATAATTAATAAAATAAAAATTACACATTTAAAATATAATTACTTTACTTTTTCTCTCCCAATTATTGAATCACTTATAAAAAATAAAAAAAAAACAGCTATTACTTCAAACATAATTTTTTAATCAAATTTAAAATAATTAAAAAATAAAAAAATAAACAAAAATAGTCAACTTCTCAAGCCACAAACGTAACGTCCAAACAAACTCTATGCGTTCGTCTCTACCGACCATTCCAACTGTTTTCTGTCCAATATCAATTGGTCAGACATTTAGTTAAATTATGGTACTTCCCACTTGTTTTAGATTCTGACGTATGGCCTTAAGATCATCTCCAATAGTTTATTAAATTTGACATCAAATTTGAAATTTAGTGAAAAGTCACTTTTTGAAGCTCTAACGATTTCACCAAATTAGCTTCAAATTAAGAATTGAACAAAAAAATCATCAAACTGAGAACAGGATACATATTTCAGCAAATTACTGTTTGTGACCGTTGGAGAAGAGGAACCGGTCAACCAGTCGGTTGCTCGGCCGATTGACCAACCGGTCGAAAATAAAAAAAAACAACTATTACTTCAAACATAATTTTTTAATCAAATTTAAAATAATTAAAAAATAAAAAAATAAACAAAACTAATCAACTTCTCAAACCACTAACGTAACGTCCAAAGAAACTCTATGCGTTCGTCTCTACCGACCATTCCAACAGTTTTCTGTCCAATGTCAATTGGTCAGCCATTTAGTTAAATTCTGGTACTTTCCACTTATTTTAGATTCCGACGTATGGCCTCCTAGTCAAAAATAGGAGAAACAACCTCATTTCACTCATAATGGCTAAAGTGTTTAGCACTTGATTGTATATTTAAAAAGTTAAAAAAAGGGAAATTGCATATATCTTTCGAGATTTAAGTCAAGTTTGACAATTTAAAAATAATTTATCTTTTTATCTTTTTATCATCACATCACTTCTTTATTTTTTTACACATCTTTTCGTAAAAATACAAAAAATACACTTATTTAAGTCATCCCAAATAACCCTAAATATCTTATACGAATGTGAGGTTCATATCATATGGATTGTATATAAGTCTCATATTCATATGAGACATTTGATAAAAATATTAATAAAATATAAGAGATCTCTATCATTACTCGCACACAAAACACCTGCCTTCACAATTTTTGTTAGGTCTCGGATCCCATTTGACAATTGCATGTTTTAATTAAAAAGTTTAAAAATTATTATAAATTATTATATCACTATTTTAATTTTATCACATCTTTTTATAAAAAATTAAAAAATTATTAAAATAATTTATTCTCAAACGAGTAACCTCACTCTCACATCGTCCTCTAAATTGTACGTGTTCTTCTACGGTCGCTTACTCCCCTGTCAAACTCCAAAAATTATTTTGATAAAAAAAAAAAAATCCCCAAAAATTATTAATAAAATTACAATTCAGTGAATTGATCAAAAGTAGTGAATTGGTCAAAAGTAATTATAGATGGTGAGGGTGTAACTCTTCTTTTGTTTTTGTTTTTGTTTTCTTTTTGTGAATTTCTTACATAAAAAGAGTTGTAGCTTCATGTTTTTGTAATTAGTTTTGATCTATTTCATTGAATTGTAATTTTTTAAAAATTATTTGGTATTTATAAAAATAAAAATAAAAAATTATTTTGTGATTCAAAGACACCAAGGCCTTGTTTGGTTTGACTTTAGGAGATAAGTTTTCAAAAAATATTTTAAGAAGAGAGTTTAGAAATTTTTGTAGTTTGTTTGATTATATATTTTGAAAATAGTTTTGGAGTTTGGGAGTTTGGAATAATTTGATATTTTGTTATAATTGAGTAGATGTGTGTGAAAGAAATAATGATTGAAAAGGAGAGAAGAGAGAGAAAAAGTGATTGATTGATATGTATGAGAAAGAAAGTGATTTTGAGAAAAATTTTGAGAAAAATTACAAACCGAACAAAATTTTCAAAAATTTTCTCCAGAATCTTTTTTCCACAGCCAAACCAAACAAAGCCCAAGTGTTTTTATCCCCTTACTATCACCAAATGTCCAGTCTCCCTATTATCTATATAATAAGACACAAAGGATTTTGAAAAATGTATCAAAATGTATGTGAGATACATTTTGATCCAATGGCTAAGATCAATTCTAAGAATATATTAACGGTTGAGATCAATAGATCTCCCGCCCATGACTTCTCTCCCTAAGCATCATTGTCTTTCCCACCTACCCACGTCTGCCTCCCCACTTTCCCTTTCTATCTCTCTCTCTCTCTCTCCCTCCTTGTTCTTGAATACATCTCTCTCTTTCACAGATACATCTCTCTCTGCTTGGGATAATCATTGTTCATTATCCACAAGTTTTAGGTTTTGGATTGAGGTTTCAATGGCTGCTGAGGACTCAGATTGCTTTACCCAATTTGTTTCGGAAACACTAGAGACAGATTCACTTGGGGGTGAAGCAAAAAGTGTTGAAATTGGACTCGGACAGAGCGAAGCTGAACTGGGTTCGGGGAAGAAGATGAAGATGAGGGCTGAAATCGACACGTCAGCGCCTTTCGAGTCTGTGAAGGAGGCAACGAGTCGATTCGGTGGAATCGGTTTCTGGAAACCCAATTCCCACAAGCCCTCTGAATCTTCTGAGGTCTGCTCTCTCTCTCTCTCTCCAAGCAAAGTTTATTAATGTTTTTGCTTTAGAATTTTATTTTAACCTGTTTCACAGATACATCTCTCTCTGTTTGGGATAAGCATTGTTCATTATCCACAAGTTTTAGGTTTTGGATTGAGGTTTCAATGGTTCAATGATAGCATTGCTCTGACTTAGCTTTGTGTACTGATCTGCCACTTTCTATATATTACTTTTTATAATATAGTTTTCTTTTTGGTTGGTTGCTTCGACTGACTCAAAATTTAACTCAAATCTAACCTAACTTTCTGAAGAGGTATTCTCTACCATAGATACAAGCAATCAGATATGACCAAATAACATTAATATATCAAGTGACAGTAAAGTTAGACATTCATAATACACTATAGAATGATTCAATATATATATATATATAAAATAAAAAAATTGGGATCAAATCCAGTTATGAATAAATCTGGACCTATATATATTTTTTGTCGTAACTGTAGGAGTGGACTTTATATATATTTGGAATAAATCTGGACCTATATATATCTGGACCTATATATATTTTTTGGGATCAAATCCAGTTATGATCAAACACAGCAGGAGTGGACTTTACACCCCATGTCGTAACTGTATACACAGGAGAGGTAATACATTGCAATTATTGGTTTGTTTTGACTTAATTAAAGTGGGTGGAAGGAAGATCTCTGTGCAGATCTGAGGTGTGTAATGTGTTTGTGGGTACATTACTTTTTTTATTACTGTTATGTTAGTTTATTACTTTTTTTGGATGTTAGTTTATTACTTTTTTTGGATGTTAGTTTATAGAGTCACCAAAACATATATACTGTATATATAGATTTTTTTAAAAGAAGGAAATCTGCAATGTTTGCTTACATGGTTTTGTGTGCATGCTGCTCACATTTATGGTCATTTCAGAAAAGTAGAATAGAAAAGTTGACAGGAAATGATTTATTGACAGGAAGATTGATTTTTTAGTGTGATTGATTAAATAGGGCTCTGATTAAAGCACCTGCATATAAGATATCTGATTAGATTGTAATTCAACCTTCCCTTTTTGGTTTGCTTAATCAGTTACATAATAGTATGTCATTGTTAGTTAAATTTGAATCTTGCGCATTGATTGATTTCTATTTTAAAGAATTTTAGCAGTCACATCGCAAATTTTTTTTTTTCAAAAGAAGGATTTAATCTGATGTATTCTGTGTTTCCTTCCATGGCATCCTTGCATGGTGCTCTACCAAATGTGGCAGCTCCAACAGGCTTATTGAGCACTTCCAGCCTCGGTACCCCTTCAAAGAATAGAGAGAGATGAGCACCGTGTCTTCCTAAAACCTAGCAGAACCGTCTCTGTGTGGCGCCGCTGCTGCTGTTTGATCGGAGTGGAAGAGGAGGAGCTTTTAGATGCAACAATTGATTTTTGAAATTGTGCTTCAAAATCGTGTGTTTTGAAAACCCAATTTCAAAATAAGTTAATTGAAATTGTGTTTTGAAATACTTATTTGTGTTGAATATTTAAATTGGCTGTCGTCATAAAAAATATCTAAACAGGTATGGTTCGATCACGGCAATGTCCAGGTCTCATTTGTTTGAAATTGGGATAGTTCATGTGTGCGATGATGATAATTAGATACTAATTTGGAAATTATGATGTTTTCGTAGTGACAATTGCTGTTTTTCATTATTTTTGACCTCGATTACTATCTCTTTGCATCTAATTTCGGGTCTCTCTGACCTCTGCTGTCTTGGATTCTTCTCATTTTTTGGGTTTTGGGATGAAATCAATTCTAATTGCTATGCATATTTTTGGGATGAAATCGATTCTAATTGCTATGCTATGCAAAAAATAATTTCTACTATTTTTATTTACATAGATCCTGAGGTCCAAGGGGTCTTAACTGCTGCCGAGAAGCACTGGCCTCACATCCATATATTTGATTCGCAGGTTATGGCAGATTCGACTGTCAAGATGGTAAAAGCTGGTTGCCAATATATCACAGTTCTCGGAGTTGATTTTATGTCAGAAAATGTGCGGGCAATCCTTTATCAGGCTGGCTTCTTAGAGGTAGTCTTTTCCTCTTCTTTTCGTGTATTCTTATTGAAAAATCTAGAAATCCCCTAGATGTTGATTTGTGATTATGTATCAATTTTAAGCAGAATATAACAATACCAATCAAACAATCAAGACAAAGAAACACAACGATTTTACGTGGAAAAAACCACAATTGGACACCTCCAACTGTGATAAAAAACCACGGGCAACAGCCACAAAATAATCCACTAAGAAGATTTAAAGGAATTACACAGGTATACTCTCAATTACCTAGCGAATCCACGCCTAATTGAACCAACCTCTATGTGCCTCTTCCAACCCGTCTTCACCTTGGAATTGTCTTTACGATGAGCCACCCCGGAATCCACCAAAGCTTCAGGCTCGAATTCTTCAGAATCCACCGAAGAACAACTCTCTCTTTTGTAGAACAAAACACAACCTTTGATGTACTCTCTTTAAACCATGAGTTGAATACTCAATAAAATATCAAAGAAAACTCACAAAGTATCCCCAGATATAAACCCTAGAACACAAAAAGAAGATCTGGAGTCGTAATCCTAAAATCTGACCCAACACGCGAATTTATAGAATCTGTCCCGCGATCTCCGCTCGAGTGCCCAACAGCCCGCTCGAGCGTCTTTAGCAAAATATGCGCGTGATATAACAGAGGTCTGCTCGAGCGCCAGAAAGGCCGCTCGAGCGCGAAATCACACATTTCAGTATTTTTGCAGGCGACCAAAACTGCTGGAACCAGGGATTCTCCGCTCGAGCGCGGGTATGTCCGCTCGAGCGGACAGGCAATTTTGAATGCATTTTTGCATTTTGTAGAACCACACTCTAAAAAGCACATAGCAAGCAAAGAGAGCCAAAACACCCCTATGTTGGGGTAGGGTTTCCCTGTCCTATTTTGTCAGGAGCTAGGGTTTCACTATGCACGCAGCAGTTTTCAGACAACCTAACATTGGGTAAGCAACCTGTCCTAACTTGGAATGGTCACTATGGATTCCGAATATGCACTAGGTCGAATGGTCAAAAAGGGTGCCCCGGTAAACCGGGGTTTGTGTTCCCATGCTGTCAGAGCCCATAGCCGGTCAGCCTTATGGACATGCCTTGACAAGACAAGCCTCCGGCAAACCGTTCAGGAATGGCAGATGGCAAACACTGTGTTCCTAGGCGCACCAATGCACATGCAATGCAAAGAAACAAATAAACGAGATCAAAACAGGATATCACGAGTACAAGTCAAGCTCTCTAAAATCCCCAGCAGAGTCGCCAGAAACTGTAACAGCGCCCGCGTGGGTTACATAGGCTGTTTATCTCTAGTCAATCTTTGCTGCAGAACATTTGAATTTTCTTCCATATGCCTTGTGATAGTTGGTCGATGGGAATTCATTCAATCCATGAAGGATGTTGCCCATCTTTCCATTGTATACATTAACTACTGTCCCATGGCATCTACTAAGCCTCCATACGGATTCATTGGCTGGGTAGATGAAACAGTGGATGGTCCAATTCCATGGCCACGTCCAATATTTTGAACATATAGTGCACGTTCCATTTAGCCGCATGGCAGGCATACTGTCATGGCAACACTCACACGCATGCGGGATGCTAAAGCATAAATACTTACATCGTACTCCGTGCCAAAACAGTAAACTAGTTAGCAAACATGCATGTCCTAGTTCATGTTAAAAATGGCTAATGCATCACAGGCAAAAATGTAATTAAAGTAGGCTCGGTTAACCTAAATATGGCATATGAGATGCAACCAATCGATTCACATATTCGATTTGGAATTTGAAATACGAATGCAGTTAGCTTGATGTACCGAGCCTAATGCATGCAATACAAATGCATGAATGCACGTATGCATAGCATAAGGTATGCTAAATTAAATGTGCCCTAATCTACCATCGTAAGCAGGTAAATAAAAAGGAAGAAAGAAATGGGGATTGGAAGACATACACACACTCACCCGCACTTATTACATCATTGCCCTCACTCGGAGGGTCCAAATAAATATTACAGTCCCAAATAAAAAAAAACAAATAAAATTATTATAGAATTCTTAATTAATTAAAAGGAAGGATGCAAAAGAAAGAAGAGGGTGGCCACAGCAAGCATGCATGCCACCCTTTTGGGCCACAACTCAAGGAAACAAGACAATAAAGGGAGAGGGGCGTCCCTCCCCTATGCAAGACTTCAAACCGACCTCTTCAACCTGCGCAGATGATGCATGCTCGGAACTTGGCTCGCCCGAAAAACCCGTACCGCACCTCTGCCACCTCTGTTTGTACTGCCTTATCTCTCTGAAAATTGCCCAAGTCCTGGAGCAGGTTCCTTACACACTGCAGAGCACCACCGGCCAGACAGAATTCCTACCGGCACTCCAGAATTTCCATCAGCTGTTGAGTTGATAATCGGCACTTAAAATATTGCCGGCCGGCACTGAATTCTGCCGGTCGGCAGAAACTTCCTGCAAAGACAGTTTTGACAGCAAACAGAGAATAGACAGTGCATGGCATGGGGTTTTCAGGCACATGTAAGCATGGTCATACTTCCTATCATGTTTTGAACTCAAGGAAGCATGTCCCTCGATCCTCGAACCATCAATGGTGCATGGTGGCTCAAAGAATCAAATTTGCCATTTGATATAAAGATGCATGCAACGAACAAAATGAAAACCGAAGCCTTATCAAGTTGAAGTCAAAGGCCCCGGTGACCGAGAATCAAGGTACATTACATCACTTGAAGTATGAATGCCCCTTGATCCCCACACTTGGTTTGACACCCCAAACCAAGTAATGCAATGCATGTTATGCAAGCATGGCTCAAATGCAACATGACACCAATCATGCAAGACATAGCAAACGTCCACCTTTAGGCCAAGGAAACACACACAAAGGAGGAGAGAGAGGGAGATATAGAGATAGAATGTATCTATATCTCTAAGCTTTGGTTTTTGCTTCTAAGTTTCTAACCTAGATCAAAGAGGAAGACCCTTCCTCTTATAAGACTCCCTCTTGCAAAGCTTATACAACAAGCTTGCTTAGAGGGAGATCCCTCCATACACGTGTATGGAGGGAGGCAGAGTTGGTGCCAGCTGTCACAGCTGGCACAAAATATCTACATAAAGTAGATGAACAGTGGTCGGCTGCCCAAAAATTTCATTTTGAGGGGTTTCAGGCATATGTGACCCTCCATACACGTGTATGGAGGGAGGCAGAGTAAAATAATTATATCACAGCTGGCACAAAATATCTCCATAAAGTGGATGAACAGTGGTCGGCTGCCCAAAAAAGTTGTTTCGACAAAAAAAGGTGCCGACCGGCAACAAACTATGCCGACCGGCAATAACAAGTGCGACGGGCAACAAAATGTGCCGATGGAAGCAAAAGACCAGCCGGTGGCCTCTAGCCACTGCCGGTGGTGTGTGGGGATGCCTTACAAGGCCTTCCTTGCCCTTCCAAGGCAAAACATAAATGTTCGGTGTGAAACCAGACACTAAACGGTCAAGTTCGGAGATCCTAAGGTAGGGCGCGCGAGCCGAAGCCTCCGGGAACTCTAAACGAACACATACATGAATAATTACCGAGTATTCCAAGCGGTGACGTCCAAGTCTCAAGGACGGTCAAAAATGGGGTGTCTACAGTTGCCCCTCTTTGATAGAACTCGAAAGTCATAACAATGACGGGAGTGAATGTCAAAGCCCAGAGACGACCCATTTTTGACAAGGCCGAAGACTTAGACAAACATGCAAGACAAACAAGATATGCGCCCGAAGGCAGGGGCAAAATGCAAGACAATGCAAAGAGCCGGACATAACTTATGATCATGCAAAGAAAGCTGTAACGAAGCATACATGCGACAATTTTAAGCTAGCATACACCAAACTACACTACAATGCAGAAAGGATGTAAGAGAATTATGCCATTCTCAATACGTCTCACTCGGGAGATACAATACCTGTGCGGCTCGTCTGGTTGCACCAACCTCAAATGAACCGTACATACAATATCGTGCCTGCAAAGAAAACAAACTTAACAGGTACAAAATTGTTAACAACATGCATGGATAGTGTACTTGAAATGCGTGACAGCGCAAAGCAAGTGGAGAGCATAACAATGTTGTGAAAATACAAACATGTAGGTGGAGCATGCGGTCTACGCAGGCAACGAATTGGCCATAAGCATGCGGTCTACGCAAGTAATGTGATTAATGAGAATGCGGTCTACGCAATCAACACATGCGGTCTACGCAGGTGATGAAATTAAAATAATCATGCGGTCTACGCAATCAAAACATGCGGTCTTCGCAGGTAATGAAGTTAATCAATATGCGGTCCACGCAATCAAAACATGCGGTCTACGCAGGTAATAAAGGTGCGGTCTACGCAATCAAAGCATGCGGTCTGCGCAGGTAATGAAATTAAGATGCGGTCTACGCAATCAAAGCATGCAGTCTACGCAGGTAATGAAATTAAGATGCGGTCTACGCAATCAAAGCATGTGGTCTACGCAGGTAATGAACTTAAGATGCGGTCTACGCAATCAAAGCATGCGGTCTATGCAGGTAATGAAATTAAGATGCAGTCTACGCAATCAAAGCATGCGGTCTACGCAGGTAATGAACTTAAGATGCGGTCTACGCAATCAAAGCATGCGGTCTACGCAGGTAATGAAATTAAGATGCGGTCTACGCAATCAAAGCATGCGGTCTACGCAGGTAATGAAATTAAGACGCGGTCTACGCAATCAAAGCATGCGGTCTACGCAGGTAATGAAGGTATTGTTACGCAACATGATTGAAACAATTTGAGGAATTCACAAGGCATAAAAAGGATACAGGGCGGGACATTCTTCGCACGCATCGAGCATTGTTCGCAGAAGTTGTGGCCTGAGGTCAACTCGAAGGTTCACATTTCAAAAGTGCGCGTCCTCACATGGTTTAAAGTAACGAAGGTGCGCAAATGCGTCGTTGACCCGAACAAAGGTACGGAGGGTGCGTTGACC